CCCCCCCCCCCCCCAAAAAAAAAACTAAAACAAAAAAACAACAACAATGTTCTGACCAACTTTATGAAAGAGCTAGTCCATTCTTTAGCTGGCTGCTCCTGCTGAGTAAGGTGACCTTGGGCCAAGGCAGCTGTCACGCGAAGGAATGATGTACAGTATAGTCTGTCTCTTTAATTTGTCTGAGGTGAACTGTTTAAAAGCTGCCTCTTGATAATCAGGCCAGGTCCCCTTCTGCTGGGTGGCTGCTGCTTATTAAGATTGAGGGGTTATGTGGGATAATGTATCCAGCACAGAGCTGAGAGCCAAGAACTCCTGACTCTCTCTGTGCTCCGGCACTAACTCATTGTGGGGCCTTGAGTGACTCAGGGCTTTCCCACTTTCACCAACTTTTAGCTCTGACCTCTTCCATAGTGTGGATGCAGTTATGTTCTTGTAGCTATTCCTGTACAGGAATGGAAATGAGCTATACCGGTATAACAACATTCAAGCTGGAGGGTTGTAATCAAGAGTGCTGCTTTGGTTAAAAATACCTCGTGCCTAATAGAAATAGTTACACCAATGAGAAACACTGCTTGTAAAACAGAGTCTTGACCTTTCCACCAGTGTCGTCATTGGAAAGCAAGACGAATGATTCTTCCTCACCAGCTTAGAACCTGTGATGGGGTTAAGTCACTAGGGCAAAGCAGCAACAGCTAAAAGAGACTGATAGGGGAAGGAGAAAAGGGGTAATACACACTGTAACTCAGGGGTGAGCAAAATACAGCCTGTGGAGAGTCTTTGTCTGACCCACGGTGGGTCCCTTGGTCCCCTGGCCCAGGCACAGTCCAGCTGTGGCACATCCTGCCACCCCCCCGGGCACACAGCAGGGCCGGGGTGGCTCCACAGCTGGATTGCCTTTCTAGGTAGCCCAGGTGACAGGCGGTTCCTTCTGGCTGCCGCTGCTGCTGGCCACAGCCCTGCAGTTCAGTGGGGACCCATACTGCGCAGCCCCAACCCTACGTGCCCTGCATCTGCTCGAGTGCCTGCCTGGGTTCAGCAGCAGTGGCACTGGACAAAAGCTGTTGTTCAGTCCAGGGTAAAAGTGACCCCTCCCCCTCCTGCTGCTGCAAGTTCCCTGCAGCAGCTACCCGGACCCCATGCTGGGCTGTCCTGTGTCTGCTCTGTGTCGCCACCACTGCCCCGTGGTGCAGCCCAGAGGTGGTGATGACGGCAGTGAAGGTGCAGGGAAGCCCCGCATGGGCTTTGGGCAGCTGCAGCAAGGAACTGCCAGTAGCAGGAGAGGAGGGGCTGCTTTTACCCCTTGCTGGACAACAGCTTTTGCCTGGAGCTGCCGCTGCTGAGCCTGGGTGGGCAAGCCTGGAGCAGGTGCGAGGCACATGGGGTTGGAGCTGTGCAGTGTGGGTCCTTGCTGCTCCTGTAGGGCTGGGGCCAACAGTGGCGACAGCCAGAAAGAGCCGCCTGCCACCTAGAAAGGCATTCCAGCTGCAGAGTGGCCCCAGCCCCGCTGCATGTCCGGGGTGGCAGAATGCACCACAGCTGGGCAGCACAGGGCAGGCCAGCTCAGGGCTGTGTGGGTTCTGGCTGATCCACTCCAGCGGGGGTGAGTGCAGTGTAGGTGCAGGGCACGCTGGGGCTGTGCGGTACCAGAGTTGGGGAGGCACCACAAGGTGTGCGGGTTCCAAGCTGTTGCAGGGCAGGTGCTGACAAGCTCAGGGTGGGTGCACAGAGGGGGCTCCCATGCATACCCCACCATACCCACAAACCCTCCCCCACACACAGTAACACACCCCACAAACACTGCACCTACCCACACGCACCTCCCTTTCCTCCCCAGCCTCACACTTGCTTCCTTCAGGGAGGAGCCCCACTCACTGCTACCCACACGCACCCCTCCCCACACACATACACACTCCACACTCACCCTCCCATGCACCCCCAGCCACTGTCCCCCTCCACGCACCCCACAAGCCCCATAACACCCCCCCCATAAACAGACCCCCACAATCTCCCATACCCACACACATCTACCCCTCACACCCTTCTCCTACCCCACATTAAGCACACACCCACATAGATACACACCCACCCCTCTATACCCCCTGCCCCATCACACTCCCCTACAATATACAAGAGTAAGCCTTAATTTTGAATTATTAAGCAATCACCTCTATATATACCACACGAATGCACACAGATCAGGACAAAAATATTTTTTAAAAATAAAATTAAAATATGTTATTGTCAATGTTTGATTTTTAGTATATACATTTTTTTTTTCCAGTTCCAAGATGGCAAACCCCCTTGCCAAAAGGAGTACTTCTGGGGGCAAGGGGAGAGACTTCCTGTGATAAAGGACAGGGGTTAGGGGATGGGACTTCCAGTCCCAAGATGGTGAGCAAGGGGTGGAGCACCTGTCAAGGACTTGGGCTGCCCTTTTGACCCTCGACAGCTTGCCAAAACTTGTTAAGCGGCCCTCCACCTGTAATAATTGCCTGCTCTGCTGTAACTGTTTCTTTAAATTACTACTACTACTGTACTACTATTAGTAGTTAG